ACGCTTTGTAAAATGTTACCCTGAGAAGGGGTCCAGAGGCCTCACCAGAGGATCCACGGCCCAGAAAAGGCTCAGAACCCCGTCTGGTGAAGCAAAGGCAAGAGCGCTAGAGCCGGAAAAACTCGGATTCAAATCCAGGCTCTGACAGATTCTAGTTCTTCCCCTTTGAGCAAAATGACGTAAACTCTCGGAGCCCTGAATCTCCCACCGCGAATGAGGGAGGTGACAGAGAAGCAACAGGGACCTTCTGAACCCACCCTCTCAACAAAAACGTGATTGATCACCTCCCGACCCTGCGGCGGGCCCACGGCTGAGTTCGGGGGCCACAGTGGTGAGCACGACAGAGACGGTCCCTCTCCTCTCGACTCTACAGCAACGGTCCTGCCGCCCGAAGGCCCAGCGGTGCCCGGCACACAGGGTACTGCGGCTGCACCCACTGCGCTCAGTGGCTGACTAGGTATGTGCTGACCTACTCCGCCTCCCCCGTGACAGCTGTTGGCCCGTGTAGCTCATGTCTCTTGTTCTCAGAGCCTGGGGGCTGGGGTCACACTCGCAGAGGGGCAGCCTGTGGGATGAAGAACACTGAATTTGGACCCAACAGGTCCTTGCTTCAAAAGCCTGCTCTGCCACTGGCTAGCTCTGGGACTCTGCCACGAACCATCTGTTCTCTCCTTGCTCTACGGTAACAGAGCCCCTACATTTTAGCTCAGCACATGGACGCTGTGAATTACGGATACTGTTTCCCAGCCTCCCTCACAGCAAAGCATGGTCATGTGACCATGTTCTAGCCAATGGGGATGTAAGCAGAAGTGATATGCACAACTTCCAAGAAGTGTCCTTAAATTAAGAGGGCTGCCCCTTACCCACCCTTTTCCTATCACAGCCAACTTGGACATGAGATGACCTTGGGAACGGAGGCCACACACGAGGAGCAAGACAGAAAGGGCCTGGGTCCATCCCCTTGTGGAGCACCAGGTCCAGCTGGGACAACAGCCTCCCTGGACCTCCGCGTCCCGGTCTGTAAAAAATGGTGCTGCTGTGAGGAATCTACCCAGCAAAGCTGTTCTGAGGACTCAGTGAGACAGAGCTCGCTTCACAGTAAGGGCCAGAGTTAGGGGAGGTGATGTGACTACTGTTCTTCTCTTGCTGCAGTGAAACGTGTTGGAAACTGAGACATCTCCACTGCGCCCTGGGCGCCCAGGGTGGCTCAATGCCTCGCACAGTGGAAAGGCATCCCAGCCACTCCCGTGCTCCGGACAGGAGTGCCCTTCCCGGCCCCCTTGTCAAAAGGCCCCCTTGTCAAAAGGACCCCGTGGAAGGGAAGGGAAGTGCACTACCGCTGGGCCAACTGTTGGGACAGGGTGCTTGTTCACCTGTAAGGCACTCTCCTCATCCGTCCCTTCAGAAGCCTTCCCCAACAACCCTGACCCACCTCCGGCGGCTCCTCTCTCTGCCTCCCCCCTTCGTCTCTGCCTTTGGTCGCCTGGGTCCTGTGTCCAGGCTCACCCACCGGACGTCGAAGCTCCTGTCCGTCTCTGGCCTCTCCCCTCAGAATGCTTCCCTAGCGAACCGGGAAGGAAGGGACCGCTCCCCGAGTCCCACCCGACTGAAACAGCCTTCCCGCTCTCCCAGTGACATTCTAAGAACGCGCGCAGGACGTCAGCCCTCCAGATGCTCGCCTGCGTCTTCCCGACGGCCTCCACGTCCCTCTGCTCGCACTCTCAAAGCTCCCTCTCTCCCTGTGGGCAGCGTCCGCATTGATCCGGGAGGCATAACTCTTCCCGATGGGAAATCGAAGTCTGCTTCACATGCCTGAAGACCACATTCATCTTTCTTGATGGTTCCCTTCCTGTCCCTCAGACACAGATCCTAGTCTGTCTCTCCCACATAGCTGTCACCTCCCCTGTCACTGTCACTCACGCAGGCTGCTCCCAGGCACAGCCGCCTGTCCTTCTCATTCCCTCTTTTTCCTCCTTACACTACATTCACTCCAGCCCCTGCTCTCATGTTCATGCTCTTTCTCTCTCTCTCTCTCTCTCTCATCTTCTGCACCCCCCCCGGCTCCACCCACTCTCAGTAGTGGAACTTTGCGGTCCTCCTCCTGATTCGACCAGGTCCAGGCTTTAGAATTGGAACAAGGGTGGCAGTGGCAGCCGATGGCTCCCTGGTTGGGTGGGGGACACAGAGCTGCAACAGGAAGAAACAGCACAGTGATGGAGAGGGCAGGGATCAGTCCCTGGAGAGGGAGGAAAGGAGAAACCCAACCCGGGCACCGCAAAGGGTGGGCGCAGGAAGCACAAGCCTGCGGATGTCGAAGGAGCCGCGAGTACCTGGGAGACTTGCCCTGAACCCCCGTTCCCTTCACAGACAGGCACGGGGTTTTCTAACTGCAGGGGCCCTTCCTGGTCCTGGAGGCCAGCTGCTCCCAGAACTCTCACTTTGCAGAGCACTCAGCCTCATCCAACTTAAAAAAAAAATTTTTTTTTTACTCCAGGGGTGTGACTCACATGGGCATAAAACCTTGAGATTTTGGGCTGTTTTAAATTTGCATTACACATTAATTTGCATTGCACAGCAAGAATGCTGCCATGTGACTCCAACCACACCAGACTCAGGCAGGAAATGAGACCCCACAGGGTTTCCGTCTCCCCAGAACACCTTCTGTGCTCCGAGGTCAGCACCGCAGCAGCCCTGCCCGCGGCCCCGCCGTGCGGAGGGTCACAGAGAGGTGAGAGAGGGGGCACTTCCCCAGTGCGGCTCAAAAAACGGGCCAAGGCTCAGCGTCCTTGTCCACAGCTCCAAACCTCCCCACTCTCCCCTCGTCTGGCCTGTCCCCACCGTCCCCCTTGACACTCATTTTCCCCCTCAGCACCTGTTTGTACCGGAGGCTGGGAGCGAGGGGAAGACAACGGTGCCGGCGCCAGGCCCAGCTTCCACTGCACAGAGGGGCCCAGCGGAGCGGCCAGCCCGCAGCCAGAAGGAACAAAAGGCACCAATGTCACCTTTCCTCACTGTCCCATCAGAGGGTCCTTCTAACTCGGGCCCCACCCTCTCTCCCATACCCCACACCCAAACCTCCCCCGAGGGCTTTTCTTGTTTGTCTTCTTGAATCCACACGAACCACTAATTACTGATTTAAACCCAGACACTAAATGAATGGCAAATACATTATAACCAATACCAAAAGGATATTTGGGACTGGCGAACAGAGAGCCTCCTGCCCTCCGGATTCTGCCTGAGGGCGCAGCAGACGCAGACTCACGCAGAGACATGGGGATGCCATCCTGGCCCATTCCTGGGCAGATGCACCGGGTGCACCGGGTGCTGGGAGTGGGAGGGCTGGTCCCTTAACTCAGCTACACACGGTAATGACCTAGGGGAGCTGAAAGACCGGTGCCTGGGTCTGCCTCCCAGAGGATCTGGTTTGCCACCTGTATTTTTGAAAGCTCCCCCAGGGGTTCCAACGTGCACCTAAGTCTGAGAACCACTGACTAAACACATTTATTACCTGTTCGGACATTTTTCAAAGCGGCCGGGATGTTCAGAACCCCTCACAGCCGTTCACGCACAGTCGAGGCAGCCCTGGGAGGCATCACCCATTTCCTGAGATTCAGGTGCCAGTCCCCATGGGGTTGAGACTGGAACCTGGGTGCTGGAACTGCAGAGTCCATTCCCTTTCTACCCGTCTGCAAACTCCCGCAAGGGCGCAGGCAGTGCCTGAAAGCAACCTCCAGGGCCAGCGGGTCACGAATAAATACAGACAGCTGGATGTGGAGAGGTGAAGACCAAGGGCAGCGGTGACGGCCTGTCCTGAATGCAGGGGCCCCGCCACACAGGGGGCAGGAGGCGTGCTCACCGTGCGGTCTGAGGCGATGCGGGGAGACACCCTGCCAGGGAGCTTCTCCTAGACCCAGTGAAGGACACACCTAACATACCACACCTAAGACAGAGCTCGATGGCCTGGGAAGCAGCTTTGGATCTGAGAATGGGCAAGCGTTAGGCAAAAAAGGGAGCTCTTCCCAGGGAAGAGAATCCTGAAGGGAGGTGGCAGGGGTTTGTCTCTCAGGGCCAGTTTCTTCATCCAGCTCTGAGCACGCTGACCTTCTGCGGGGGCGTGAACACCAACCCTCCTACACCTCCCACCAGGCAGCTTCGATTCCTCCAGCTGCCCTTCTACCAGAGCAACGACCCAAGCTTCCGTGGCGAGGGGACACACCACCAGCGACTTCAAACATTTTTTCTATCCAGCCCTGACTGGTGTGACTTGGTGACATCACCAAACCATAAGATCAGCGGTTCGATTCCCAGGCAGGGTGCATGCCTGGGTAGCAGGCTAGGTCCCCGGCTGGGGCCGTCACAGGCAACTAACCAATGCTTCTCTCTCACAATGCTTCTCTCTCACATCGATGTTTCTCTCCCCCTCTTTTCCCTCCCTTCCCCTCTCTCTAAAAATAAATAAAATCTTTTAAAAGACACTTTTCCCATCCAAACTACTTAGGCAGGACAAAAGCACCCCTTCAACCTCTTTTTCAACTACATCCACCTCCCTCCAGAAAAAGCAGCACCATTGTCAACAAACCCACCTTCCCAGCAGAGTGGGAGCCAGGCTGCTGCAGCGGGCTAGGAATTTCCTGGACCACCACAGAAGTGAAGCCCCTCGGCTGGGTATTTGTAATTGCAAGGACCAGCCCTCAGTCCCCATGGGGCCCCCACACCACCCGCACGCAGATGGGGTTTCCCACCACACCCTAAGGCTTCGGACAGACACTTGTCCTTTAAGAAGGACAGCAAATGCTCCTTAAAGACAACAGACAACATGCCACCATTTCCTCCTGGGTCAGAAACGGGCCTCTTGGTGCTCCATTAGCAACCTGTGTCGCCCGCCGGCCGCCTCCGGGTGTCGGAAGCCGGGTGTGGATGGGGAAGAACCACAAGGAATTACAGGAACCAACGGCAGGTTAAACTTTCCCATCGATCGCACGGGGAGCAGCGCCACTTACCCAGCACCGCCAGACAGCCCAGCAGCGGGAGAAAGCACTTCATGTCGGCAGCGGAGACAAGGCGCAGCGCAGGGGCGCTTTCTCCTCTCCCAGGATCTAATCTCTCATTTCTGGCAATCCACTTAGAGCTCCAGGGGACGGTTTTGGAAACAGAACTTAACTCAGAAAACAAGACTAGGCTGCTGAGGAGGGGTCCGCAGGGGGTGGTGGGGGAGGTCGGGCGGGGAGGGCCGCGTTAAACTCCCCTCTGCAGGGGAAGGGTCCAGAACAATCCTGCGGGCGCTCCAGGCTCCTGCCTCATCGCGTGTCTCGCGGTTTCCACTGGAATCGTCGACTGCGGTGGATTAATCCTCAAGGAAAAGAGGAAGGAGTCTGAGGAAATCCTTTCACCCACTGATTATACAGAAACGCCCTTGGCTCCCCGGTGAAGGGTCTGCACTCTCCCTCACTCGGATTCCCCGAAGGGAACGGGGCAGCTTTTGTCCCGACCTCTGACAGCCAGGTCGCCGCGGCTGGCATCGCCCGTTTGGGTGTCTCCGTCAGAAAGTCTGTCTCCATCCATGACGGCGGGTCACGGAGCAGCCGCCTGCCCCCGGACCTGCCCGGCACCAACAAAGCGACAGCGCGGCGCGGGGGTCAGCGTTCCGGTGCCCGGGGCGGTCCCACGGTGCCAGCAGATTCCTAAAACAAACACGGCGGAGATTTGTCAAAGGCCAGCCTCCCCACCGCGGAGCCGAGAGGGCTGTGCCGGTCCGAGCCCCCGGCTCGCGCTCCGGGCCCGGGTCTGCCTTTGCGCGCTGACCTTGAGCAAGTCGCCGCGTCCTCTCCGCCTCAGTTTCCCCGCCCAGAGCAGGGCGACAGTGGGAAGCCCGATGGTTCCCGCCGTACTTTCGCCTATTGCGTGCTCACTCCTGGGAATTCCCTTCACCTCCCTGGGGGCCGGGAGCCGGCCGCGGGCAGCCCCACCCTCCGCGGGCCAGGTCGGGAAGGGGCTCGGAGCTGGGGCCGCCACTCCCGGTTCCACCCCCAGCTCTGGCCCCCACCGCCGGCGTGGGAGCTGGGCGCGCGCGGCGTCCCAGGTGGCCCCGCTATTGTTTTACCTTCCCGGGTGTTTATTTTTTGCTGAGTGGAAAGAAAAGGGACAGAGGCAGAAGGGAGCCGGGGCTCCGCGTTCCGCTGCCGGGACGAGCTCGCTGCGCGCCTGACCGGCCAGGGGAGGGTCTCGGGCCGACCCCGAGCGCAGCGCGCACCCCGGCCCGCCGCCACCCCTCGCCGCGCCCTCCAGGGGCTCCGCTCCCCTCGCTGTCGCCACTCCCCGCGCCGGCCGAGCTTCCCCCGATCCTACCTCGCCGCAGCCCTTTCCCTCAGCGCCTTCCTCCGACTGTGGATCCGTGGGCCGGGAGCTCGCCTCAGGGGACGTGCCGCCTCCTCCCTCCCGCTAGGGCACCAGCCGCGGTGCTCGGCCCCTCCCGAGTCCCCGCCCCCTCCAGCTCAGGCCGCTGCGCCCGGCGGGCAGAGCGCGGGGCTAGCGCCGCGGCCTGGGCCACAGGCACCGCCCCCCGGGCCCGCCCCTTCCCGCAGACCCCGGGATGAGCGGCTGGGCTGGGGGCCTGGCCAGGACTTGGCTGGCGGGGGCCTGGGCGTGGGAGGGGGGCACGCCGGTGCCACACCTGCGGGTGGGGAGGGCCACCCGAGCACCTGGACGCATCTGGCGCGCGGGCCAGCAGCCCCCAAAGTTAACCAGGGTTCACACGCAGCCTCTCGCTGCTGGCGAGATGCCCAGGCCCTTTCCAAAGCCCCACAGACCCATGGACCTAAAGAAGGGCGGCACAGGAGCGCGTCCTCTCTCCGCGACACGAAAACAAAGCCCTCACAGAAGGCTTGAATCTGTTCACGTAGCGGAACCCCATATTGCCTTTCACTCTGGGACTGAATTTCCTAGAAGTTGAGACTGAACTGGACTCTGCAATCACCTGGGTTCTAACTCTTGGCTCCCCTCTACTTCCTCGAGACTAACCTGGGTGGAATGTTCTTTCTACCTCAATTTCCCGTCTGTTACATGGAGAAATAGCCGCTACTTAATAGGGTTACGTGAGATGTCCATGACATCACTTGTGAAACAGAATGGTGCCTGCCACATCTTCAGGGCTCAGCAGATGGAAGCTGTAATTATGTTATGCGGAAGTGATACAGGGTGCAGCCAAGAGGGGCCCCCAAAAAGGGATTTGGAATGGAGTCCAGAACTCAAGGTGTCTAGGAAATATTAGAAAGACATATAAGATGTCCTCACCCCTTCCCCCCACAGGTGTGAGTTGGGGGAAGGGACACATGGAGCAGGAACATGCAGGGATGTTTTGTACAGCCACAGACTTGCAACTAATCCATGGCCTGGTCATTTAACATATCTATAGCCTTTGGTGAGTCACTTGGATATGTTAAATAGCTGTGGCCAGACTTGGAGCCAGGGGGATAGAAGTCTCTCCCCCCAAGATGGAACTAGGGGGGCAGGTCCCCCAAGTTACAGCACCTGCGTGGGAGCTTGGAGAAGACTGGCTCCAGGACATGGGGCCATACCTGCCCAGACTCATGAGGGCAGCCCAACTTGGAATAATATAGGAATGCTATCAGGTGTAACTGATTGTGGGAGGAGTTGGAAATGGGGGTAGAGAGGAAGATTGGCATGGGGATTTAAACCCAGACACAGCAGCCATGTGAAGGAGAGAGAACCACAAGGCTTTGCCAGAGTGAGGACCCCCTCTTGGCTCTGGTGGAAGAAAAGAGATCCACGTGGTTTGGCCAGAGTACTGACCCCTGAAGCTCTGGTAGATGAGGCCCACACAGCTTTGGGGTGCTCCCTTTGGCCACATGGCCTGGGAAACAGGAGAGACTTTGCCTGGAAAAACGGGTACAAAAACTTTTGCCAGTGGACTGTGAGAAGGTGCCACATGGCTTGGGATTAATTGGAGATCCTGCCTGGAAAGTGACACAGCTGATGGTGCCAGCGGCTTGGAAACACAGACGTGTGCTCTTTTCCTGAGTTACGGTACCCCAAATTAGGGCAGGGGGAGAAGGGAGTGCTGTGGGCATCTGTGGTTATCCTAATGGACTTTGATATTTTACTGAAGATGTTAGGTCACTGCTTTAAGTCTGTACAGCATTAAATAAACATTTCTTTTCCTTTTCACAAGTCTCTGGCATTGAGAGATGTCTTTCCAATTGGCAGCGGACAATCGAGCCCAGTAGGTGGTCGGGACAGTATTAGTATACTGTCCTCCGGAGTCTGGGCCCCTGTGCGTGTGTTCTTTACAGAAGCCCTCTCCAAGCGAGTGCATTTTCATTCATTCAGTACTTGCCTGACACCCACAGGTGCTGGGCAAGCACCTTCATCAGGTGTTGAGGGTGCAGCAGGATAGGCCTGCCCTCCCGGAGCCTGAAGTCCAGTGGGGAGACCACAAAACAGGTGTGGCAAGAAAAGAACAGTGTTGAGGAAGCACATGCAAGGACATGGGCCCCGGGTTGGGGGTCCAGACATGAGGAACAGGGGAGGCTGGTTGCCCCAGAAGGCTTCTCGGAGGAAATAATAACTAGGTAGCATCAAGGGAACAGGAATCACCAGGAGAGAGAGGACGCACAGGCCTTGGAACAGAGGGAAGAGAGAGGGGCCCACTTAGAGGACCAGAAATCACTATTGGGTCCTAACTAGGCTACAAGAAATTGCAAGAAATGAGCAGAGAAGAATTTCAGTGCCTGAACCAGGAGGACTTTGTATGATGTGTTAACGGGGTTGGAATTTCGCCCGGGGCCTTTTGGATAAGACAGTACTGTTTTTAGATGTCCATTTGTAAGAAGACCACACTGGCCTGGCTGTGGAGGGTGGATGGAAGGGGAGTTCTGCAGGAGTCCGGGAGTGTGGCTGAAAATCCAGACAGAAAGTGATGGTGACCAGGACCACAGAAGTGGCACGGGGAGGAAGAGGAGTGAGTGGGTCCCCTGGATGTGGGAGGTAGGCTGCTGGGGTTGAGGGTGAGAAAGGGCCAGAACAAACAGTTCAGCCTCCATGGCTGAGATCAGAATACACAGGATGAGGCTGGACGGATTGTGTCTGAGATGTCCAAGGGCGTGCAAGTGCAGAAGGCCAAACAGCAGTTGGGGTGGGAGGTGGGCTGGAGTTCAAAGCTCAGAAAGGGACTATGGGTTTGTAAGACTTTTTTCACCCTACTGGACAGTATGACAGAACATTTAGTGAAGAAACAGACTGATAATTCACTTAAAAAAAAAAAAGGCATTATTACTCCCAGCATGCAGGGCAATGAAGAACATGCTATGAGGGATCTAAAAATAACCAAAGGGTCTCACTCGCCCCCACCCCTCTCCATTAGCTATAAATTCCTAAGGATCTGCCCTTAGATAGCCATTTATTGCAAACAACTCTTGGCATTGTGACCTGCATGTAGTAATTGCACTATAAATACTCGAATTAAATTGAATAGGATTAAATATTTATCACATATGCCAAGTATTGTACTGAAAATCTCCTCTTGTGTGCTGAATATCATCTCTTTCCCCCAAAGCAGCCCTGACTTTGGCATCTCTCACTTCCCCTCTCCCCTAGACCCCTTTATTTATTTATTGAGCCTCTACTATGTGCCCAGAGAAGTCTCTGCTCTCTTGGCGCTTCCATTCTAGGGGGAAACAGATACATGTATATCATAACCTGGGGAAAGTGCGCATGCCCCGGTGGGGTGTGGAGGAGGACTCTGTTGGAGGCGTGGTGGCCAGGGAAGGCCTCAGGCGGTGACACTTGAGCATCGAGCTGATTAGAGGGACGGCAGGAGCCTTGGGGCTTTCCTGAGGAAGAGCATTCCAAGGTTAGGGAACGCCAAGGGCAGAGCCCCTTAACAGGCTCAGAAACTGAAAGGCGTGCCTGAAAGAGCCCGAGAGAGAAGAGGGAGGAATGTTTTCAAAAGGGTCACAGAGGTCCAACCCTGCAGGACCTCACAGGCCAGGGCGGCAGTTTGGCCGCAGAGAAAGGATAAAGCAGTGGGAGGGAGGAGGGAGGAGGGGCACGAGAAAGGAGGCTTCCGTGGTCGTCGTGGTGAGAGGTGACCACAGCTGGGACCGGGTGGTGACGACGATGCCGGGTGTGAGAAAGGTGTGGAGTCTGGAGTGTGCGTTTTGAAAGTAGACTCAGTGGCATCTTTTGGACAACTGGATATGGATGGGGCGAGAAAGAGGAGAGTCAAGGAATCTTCCAGAAGACCCACCCAAGTCTCCTTCGGAGCTCTCTGACCCACCACACTGCCCAACCCCTTTTCTAAGCTCATACTTCCCAAGCATTTACTCCCCAGGCCTCTGCCTGGGCCACTTCCTCTTGTCCTTGAACCTGTACTCCATTATTCCTTCTCAGTAGTTTCTTCTCCATCTACCTCACCTCCTATCTCCCAGACCCCTGGCATCCTCCTAAATAATCTGTCAAGCCCAGGCTGGTTCCCAGGGTAGCACCTTTCTAATTGCCACATCAGTGACCCAGCTAAGATATCCAAAGGATGATGCTACGTCTAAGGCACGGAGAGTAAATTCAATGAAAAGAAGGCCTCTGCCTGCCACACATAGAAACAAGTGCAGCGAGAGCTGACCAGGGGCATGATGGGTCATCTGCAGGCAGAGGAAGCCATGAGGGAGGGAGAGCCTTCAAAGGGGAGGAGGGGACAGAGTCCCCAGTCAGCCAGTGTGTCCGGTGCCTGTTCTGAACACCAGTAGCTTGCTTCCCAACACCTTACGTTGGAACATGGAAGCCTCTCCTGAATCAGCCTGGAGTCAGGCGGATATTTGGGATGTTATGGAAGACTCCTCCCTTGCTTTTCTCCCCCAGGGAGTTAAACCCAGAAGCCTTCTGAAGCCTGGCTGACTCCCAGCTTCTGC